TGTACAAATTTAATAGCTTCTTTCAGTGCTTCGATACTTGAAGGTTGTGTTTCTACAATTTTGTTTTTGAACATTGCCAATAGATTTTCAAATGTATCCAGATCTGGGCTGTTCCCCTGCCAGTCAAGTGTCTTCACGTTGATTCTGTCCAAAAGCTTTCGAACATCTTGTGACTGGTGGCACGGAGTACTATCATCCATAGATATTGTGCACTGAAGAATATGCATATGCAATTCCAGTTTCTCCTGCAGTAGTTCCACATATCTTGCACCATTTATTGTTGTTCCTGGAAGCAAGAAGTTGAATCCAGCTATTCCATATTTGGTCATGACACCCACAAATTTTCTGGCTTTGTGGGTGCATCATAGCCTGGATTTTATATTATTCATAAAATCTCTTACCAGGAGCTTTTCTAACGTTTTTTTTACTGCTGCAGATTAGTATCTGTCTATATTTCTGTGCCTCACTGACACATGGCACAGTGGATAAAGGTGTTAGTTAGATCCAGTGACAGGACCCAAAGAGTTGTGAGTTCAATACCTGGTTAAGGCAGTGGAGAAAATTGAAGAGGGGAATTAACAGGAGATAACTGATAACTGACATCCATTAAACATGGCACGTGGAACTAGAACAGTCTACCTCAGTGAGCGAAATAAAGGGTTCAGTTCAACATTCCAACCACCTAAAGAATGCCGGAGCATACACGGCCGAAACGTTGTGATAAATATGGCGACAAAGATGCGGACAATAGTACGAATAATGTAAATAGTGCTGCAGATTAGATTCATATGAAAACATAATTTTGCTCCAGTCTTCAGCTGTCAAGGTTTCATGTTCCTTAGCTAAAGTTAGCCGCCGTTTACGAAACGGTTTGAATGATTCCAGACCTAAAGCAAATCTCATGGGACATTTGTATCATTTTGAAGCAGGGCAGTATGTATCTTCTTACAAGATATTGTTGAGAAACTTGTAGCAAGGCGTTTCATCAAATGGTCATTTTAGATCTGGTTCTCCTTTGGGATTCATTCCTCATCTGAATTTCGGAAATTGACGATAGCATTATTCCAAGCTGTTTTGTTAACTCCTACCTTTTACAATAATTTCTCTTTCAAAATAGCTTTCATCGCATAAAACCAAAATTTCTTCCTTCTATGTAAGGTGAGGATTTTTTGCCCATATTCTAAGCCTAATTCCTTAGACAAACCCTATCACAATGGAGGCTAGTTTAGCAATGCCAAAACCATTTGAGACATAATATAATATGAGCATAATGGCTGATGCAAGAGCAAATTGCATCAATCAATCTCACATCGTACAATGTAATTTAAAACAAAACGACAATAACATTATTACAACAAAGTGGTGTTACTTTTGTTAATGACTATATAGCACATACACACACACACACACACACACACACACACACACACACACACACACATATATATATATATATATATATATATATATATATATATATAAATATAACCTTTACAGGTAGTGAGAGAATGATGCAAAATAATTTAATTTTGGTATTAAAATGTGGGCTGATAACGTATTTCTCTTTCTAAATTATTCACATAAAATGTTATAGTTTTTCTTCTAATCTTAACATATACCTTTCTCAAGAAGCCGTTTGTTTTCAAGTAGAAAGATGTTTATTGATCAAAATAATAACAATGATAATAATAATATAAGCTAAATACTATCTTTGAACAGTCAAAATATGTTGATAAACAAGGACACACACACACAAACACACACACACACACACACACATATATATATATATATATATATATATATATATATATATATATATATATATATATATATATATATTGACTGCTTACCACGTTCTACTGTTTTCTATGTCGTCTGGTCGCTCATGTTTATTTCTCAAATAATGAAATCCCGTCTGCATGACTTTTAATAACATACCTATTTAAAAACATAATTTTTTTTTCACACGCTCTATTTTTCTTAGTAACGCTTATGATTTTTATATTCATATGCATTTAACTACGAAAGTTTAGATTACGTCCATGGAAAAATGTCTGCCATCACACGAAATTCAGTCGCTTTTCCTGTAAGTTTTCGACACTTTATGTTTCTGGTTTAGATCAAAGGCCTAAACATAAAATTTCTCTTTCACAATATAATAAAAACTCTTCTTAAAACTTGATTTGTATGAATTTTGTTACATTTTTCTATATACCGTAGAGCCTCGTTACTAATTCCAAATGGTGTGCTTGGAAAGAGAGAAATATATTTTGATTTTCTCTATTCTCCAAGGTCCATATTATATCTATGCTATAATAAGAACCATAACACACAACTGAAGGAAGGACCAAAATATCTCAAAAAAATTAAATACAAAAATTAATTGGTTTCTGTAAAGATTTTATATATAACTTAACCCCGCAGAATAACACAGATTTAAACAAAGATGGCGTCATTTAATACAGCTATTTTCCTTAAAGTTTCCTTTTCAGCCAACACATTTTCAAAGATGGACGTTGGTAGAATTAAACAAACTCGAGACTCAATTCACAAAAAATACTAAATGAAGAGGAGAAATTCGAATGCGATTAAGAAAAATTAATTGTAAATAATCAACACCTAAAAAGAAATATTAAAGGCTTCTAAAAGATTATAAAATAGAAAAAGCTTTACTCCAAACAAACACAAGGAACGAATAAAATGTTCCTTCTGGCTACAGAAGCTCGGCTGATATAATTTAATATATACAATTTCGGGAGCTCGTAGGTGATGGACAGAGTGAGCTCTGTGCATCACAGAAAAGAATGTGCCATCATACTCGACAGCACAGTTCGGGTTGTCTAACAAATGCTTTCCGATAGACGAATCTGAGTGGTTTTTAACAAAAGACTCCGACTACTAGATCTTAAATAGGAGGGAACGTGTTGCACAATACGAATTTCCAATTTTTGATTGGTTCATCCTATGTAGACAGCATCTCACTGGCATTTTTATTTGTATACTACAAAACTATTTTGAAAATAGGACAACCGATCTTTTATAAAAGATAGAAACACAGAACTAGTCTGAAAATGCAACTTAATGTTGGAATAGCATGAAGTAATGCAAGCTGGAATCCTGTCAGCAAGCAACTGACTTCTCTTGCCTAACTATGGCAATTTGAAGTAAATGTGTCATCGACTGGGACCTAAAACCATTAGTGGTTCCTTAAATCGCTTAATCTTGTATTCAATAACACGTTCAATGGCATAGACAGGAAAACCATTTTCCACAAAAAATTTTTGAATCTTTTCAAGTTTAGAATACTAGGAGTAGAAATCGTTAAAGCGCTTTGGATATCAAGCGAATGTTGCGGGTCTTAGGAACAAAAGAGTTCCAATTTGTTTATAAAACATAGGTTTACGAAAAATACTGGTGACGAAAACACCATCCCTACGTTCAACGAGAACATCCAAGAAGGGCAAAGCGCAATTACTCTCCACATCCATAGTGAATCGCAGAGATGGAAGGGACTGAGTTGAACAAAAAAGCCATAGCATCGTTGACAGAGTCAAAGATGAAGAAAGTATCGTCCACATAATACAAATAAACATGGGGCTTACGGCACTTTTCGAAAAAAAAAGATCTTCATGAAATCCCACAAAAAATTTGCAAGTACTGATCCCAAGGGACTACCCATTGAAGTTCCATCAGTCTGAGCGTAGATAATATTGTCAAAACTGAAAACTCCCTCAGCCGCTAGACGCATGCATTCTAAAACAAGGTTTCAGGAATACTGGCACGCCCCAAATGACCTCTATAAAAGGCATCAGAATATATATGTATCATGTCCTGAAGGAGCACATTTGTATATAAACTGACAATGTCAAAAGATGCTAACAGTTTATCTTCTGAACTAATTTCCAAAAGATCCGACACGGGTTGGAGCATTTCACTAAACATTTCGCCGGCTCGTTCTTCACAGATTGTGTGTCTGAGTGGCCCACTGGTTTTATGCACTTTGGGTAATCCGTACATTCTGGGCGTTGAGAACCAAGAGGTCTAATTCTGTTATACACATTTTTAGAAATTAGCTTACTCTTTTATACTGAGAGTAACCATCTTTAAGTTCTAGTTTCTATTTTACTAGCCTCATCACATGTGGTTGCAAGACCAATCTTCCTAAACTCAGAGGAATCATTTTAAATGATTCCTCTACCTTATCAATGTAATTCTGTTTAAAATAACTACACCGGAACCCACATCAGGCTTAGTTATGTAAATGCCATTTCTAGACTTCAGACATTTGATAGTCTGAAAATGAACGCTCTACCAAGCGAGAAAAATCATGTTCTGCCGAGAGCGAAGAGTATTCGCTAAATAATTCAAGCAGTCTAGCTTTAAGTACCAAAAACTTGTCAGAAGAGGAAGGACTATATAGATTTAATTTCGAGGACATAAGTTCAAATTCAGAAAAAAAATCTTTTCCTTACTAACCTTTGAGGGAGGGATTTCAAAAGTCAAGCCCACTCGTGAGAGCTATCTGTTCAATCTCTGTCAGAGTAACATTGGAATAATTAAAGAAGTGTTAATCCAAGTTTCCACTGCCAACATCAGATATTTGTTTGTGCGTGTTTGTGTGGGCGTGCTGTAGGATTACTCCGTTAGCTTTAAATTACAAGTGGCGCCATTTTTGAAAGCCTCGCACTCTATCTATTGTGCCGATCACACGTTACAATATATTCTCGGCATTCAAGTAGTTTATCCTTTGAGGATTGTGCATGAAGATCTAACTTCAAACGATTCCTCTCTATCCTGTTTAACTATACCAACAAAACAAACACTAATAATTCTGTAGACATGTTTTATGAATCTGTTTTAGAATTTTGTTTTGAATCAATGACGTGTTCTTTCTTTTCATCGTCTAGCAAGATGTTGAATCGTTCCACCAAACTACTGTCAATGCCATCCATTTCATTACATCTTTATTTACTCTGACTCACACGACTTTACAGGGCTTACGGCCACATCACGTTGAAACACCGGTTCCCGTACGATCACCGAAGTTAAGCAACGTCGATCCTGGTCAGTACCTACATGGGTGACGGCTTGAAAATACTAGCTTTTGTAAGCTTGGATGTGCAGGTGGTGCAATGGATAATGACTTAGAGAATTGTTCATCGGAGAGCCGAGTTCCAATTCCACTTGGTTTTGTTATATTCACTTATGGGCAAGTATCATTGGAAAAATGCACCTCAAGGCGGTGTAATGTTTAGCATGCTTGTCTCGCTAGAACAATTACGACTGAGTAATGACTTCGATCCACACTAGGGACCTCAATCATTTGGCCTTATGCCACATCTACACTATGCTTGGAAAATCACAATATCATTGGAAAAGGTATGAATCCAGCTCCTCTCCTCCACCTATGGGTTAATTAGTAAAAGTTGTATCGCTAAATCATTATTATCTCCCCATCCACTAAAAATTCTTACAATCTAAAGTATTTCCTGGCTTTAAATAACCTGCAAAGGCTTGATTATCTGAAGAAAACGAATCAATCAGCGAATAAAAACGAGTTTGTAAAATATTGTTTGCGGGAAAGATAATTTAGGATTCATTCCGTTCTGTAATAGTCTGTTCTGGCAAAATAATATCCCTTTATTTTTGCCGATTTTAACAGTGAGGCAATCGGAATTGTCTTAATTTGTTTACAAATTTCTTCAGGATTCTGTAGAATTGTTGGTACAGTTCTTGTGATTATAGCAATTTCTTTTGAATATTACATGTAATAGTCATTATTTTACTAAGCTTTAGCTTCGTTTAGTACGTGGCTCGATGGTATGCCATGCAACGTTTGTCTAACTCGTTGGTCGAACTCATCACTGGCAAATGGTCTGTTTTCCAGGCATTTCCCTGTCGCTTCCTGCACTGAACCACACGTGTCTAAGCACTTACTATGTTTGAAATACGTGTGCGTCTGTGTGTGTGTCCATGTGTGTAACGTATCTGTAAACCTGACCTTGCTCTCCTTCATGATAAGCATCTCTATGTCATTCAAATGAAGAATTCATAAAACGTAAACAAAGGCTGACACATCCAGTGAAACAGAAAGAGAGAGAAAACTACATGTAAAAAGAAAGAGGACGAAACAGGTTTCCATAAATATAGAATTGAAAGGCCTCGCCTGACATTCAACTTACTCTCCGACCACAATCTATATTGAAAAAGGTCACATCCTCCGTTCAAATACATATGTGGGAGCGGGGAGCAAGTATACCTCGCTATGTCCATCATGATTGAGTAGTGAGTTCGATCTTCACAGGGTGTTCCATACTTGCAGTTTGGTGCTATATCTATGTGTGAGGGGTGAAGGGGTGAACTCGCATGAAATTTTTTAAGGATTTAATATCTTAACTCGCCATATTTTTCATTTACATATTGCTATTAAGCTTGGCATCCGTCCTGGGTAAGACGATAAACTACATCCGCGTCCTGGGTAAGACGATAAACTACATCCGACAGCAAGGCCTCTGATCGGGAGGTTTTGAGGAGCATGGAACCACCGCTTAATTGCTGGTGTTCCCAGGTCCACCCTGACTCTGGATGGTCAGGATCCCAGCTATGGGAAAATAGTTAACTCCCCAAAAGGGGTCAAAACACTATAAAAGTATAAAAATAGGTTTTAATACAGGCAATACTTTTTGGAAAAATTATTACCAGCAATACATTTTTGAAAAAGAAAAATATTACCAGCAATACATTTTTTGAAAAAAAAAAAAATAGCAATAATATATTTTTGAAAAAAATATTACCAGTGTTATGGGGTCCTCCCCTTTTTCATATAAGTGGACTCGACCAGAGTGTTACTTGGACTGCTGCCGTTAAATACCTAGAGTCAGTCAGAATACAGAGATTGATAGTAAGAAGACTGAGATTGTGATTGAGTTGAATGTAGAGTAATAGTGTGAGGTAACCGCTTGTAGAAGTCACAAGCACGTAGACTTTAAGGAAGTCCTACTTCGAGACTGTATATATCTATATGTTATTGCTACTAACCGCGTTCCTGGATTTACTAACAGTATTACACTTTGTATTATTGTGTAAATACATTTTATTTCTTATATTTAATTCCTGCGTTTGTCATTCATTGGAGACCGAATTTCATCTCGGAATCCAGAACAACCAGCAATAAAAATCTTGTTGGCATTAAATAACCTATTGAGGTTGATATACCGTAAAACAAAACAAAAAACAAGATTGGCAAAAAAATTCTGACTTCCCAAAATAAAGAAGATGCATAGATTTGTTTTCATTCGGGGGTACATTGTCTTTCGTATGACGTTCGATTTCTATATCAATAGACATTAATTTCACCGTTTTAAAAAACACATAATGTCTATTGAAACATCTGTACACAGGTGTGTGTGTGTGTGTGTGTGTGTGTGTGTGTGTGTGTGTGTGTGTGTGTGTGTGTGTGTGTGTGAAATTGAGTAGACGGAATTGGTTGGACGCTGCCCGTTGTTGTCCTTGCACGAGATCACAATTCATCGTGACTGAGGGTTTGATCGTAATGGCCTTATAGATAATTTGCTCTCTTCCAGAAACTGTAATTAAGATTCGCTCAGTATAGTTGCTGTCTAAGCCACAAGTGTCCTCTGAGACTCTTGGCTAATACAAATTTGCTGAACAAGCTTCTGCAACAGGGACTGATTAACCAGTCATTATTATTATTATATATTAAAAGAGATGATTATTTTCGTGTTCCCTATATATATATATATAATAAGTGTAAAAAGAACTAAACAGCACTATAATGGATATCATCCTCCTCAGGTCTACCCATACGAATTACCTAAGTTTGCATAAACTAACTATATATATATATATATATATATATATATATATATATATATATATATATATATATATTAAGAAATGGACAAAGTCCGACAATTTATTTATTAAAGACATTTTTATGTTTAACGTTCTTTTTATAGATACAAGTATTTAAGTAAATGCTCTGTTTATAATAAACAGTATTAAATAACATATTATAAACAGAGCATTTACTTAAATTGAAAATTTCTCGGACATTCAGGCCGGTAAATGTTATTTAATACTGTTTATTATAAACAGAGCATTTACTTAAATACTTGTATCTATAAAAAAGAACGTTAAACATAAAAATGTCTTTAATAAATAAATATATATATATATATATATATATATAGGTACCATGAGAATGAACAGAGTACAATTCCAACGTTCGTAACATTTAATTTAAAAGAGGGCTCAGTACAAAGTAGAGCAATATTACTTATTTTAGGATATCTTATCAAGCGATTATAAATTAATTTACAATACTCTGAGGAGATGCTTTGATACGCATCGAAACACGACTGCAATTGCTTAGCGAATTTGACTTGTTTTCGATGTAATATCCTAAAATAAATAATATAGATATATATATATATATATATATATATATATATATATATATATATATATATAGAGAGAGAGAGAGAGAGAGAGAGAGAGAGAGAAAGCGGGAGAATATGTAAACAACTCAACATATTATTATTTTTCTTATTTATCTCCTTCAATTGCCAGAATTCCAGGAAAAGAAACTCCATTGTCTTCGCCATTTTACGCACATCCGGCTCAAGTGTGAACGCACCGGAAAAAACCGAACCTCATCATTTTCTTGGATCTTTCCAGTAAATTCAAGACTCTTGCCTATTGGTTTCCACCACTCCATGACTTCAACTTATTTTTTTATATTCCAGATCGGGAGTTCTTCACATATTAATCTGAAAAAATAAATTTGAAAAAGAAATGATTATCTCTGCCTATTGTACAAGTCCAACCCAATTTTCAATAGGATTTGATAAAATTCATGTGAGAAGACTGCTGGTTCCAAAACAGATCTTCGTTTGGTGTATTCTTTGGAAAGCTACATTTCGGAATATGACTAGGTTCTAGATATTCTTAACGCAAGTCCCACAAAATAATATAGCGAAGCTGCCAATAAATTTGAAACTTAAGTAAAAATAAATTCCTTAAACAAAGGAAATATTCCGGTAGCTACTTTTACTTACAATAAAAAGTACAAATAATGACGGTTTTCACCAACCAGATCGTCGCAGAAGCTTTGGAAGCATCGTCTCGCTTCTTCCAACTAAAACCATATAAATCACCAAACGTCCAGTGGCTACTTCAGCATCACACTGAACGCAGACAATTAATTACATTGTTCGGACTATCATCTTCATCTTTCGTTGCTGCCATATTTATCGCAACGTTTCGGCTGCTGCCATATTTATCGCAACGTTTTTTGCTCAAAACAAAAGTAACACCACTTTGTTGTAATAATGTTATTGTCGTTTTGTTTTAAATTACATTGTACGATGTGAGATTGATTGATGCAATTTGCTCTTGCATCAGCCATTATGCTCATGTTATTTATGCCTCAAAAGGTTTTGTCATTGCTAAACTAGCATCCATTGTGATAGGGTTTGTCTAAGGAATTAGGCTTAGAATATGGGCAAAATAATCCTCACTTTACATAGAAGGCTGAAATTTGGGTTCTATGCGATGAAAGCTATTTTGAAAGAGAAATTATTGTAAAAGGTAGGAGTTAACAAAACAGCTTGGAATAATGCTATCGTCAATTTCCGAAATTCAGATGAGGAATGAATCCCAAAGGAGAACCAGATCTAGAAATGACCATTTGATGAAACCCCTTGCTAAAAGTTTCTCAACAAGATTCTGTAAGAAGATACATACTGCCCTGCTTCAAAATGATACAAATATCGTCTGAGATTTGCTTTTAGTCTGGAATCATTCAAACCGTTTCGTTAACGGCGGCTAACTGTAGCTAAGGAACATGAAACTTTGACAGCTGATGACTGGAGAGAATTTATGTTTTCAGATAAATCTAATCTACAGCACTATCTACATTATTCGTACTATTGTCCTCATCTTTGTCGCCATATTTATCACAACGTTTCGGCCGTTGTACACTCCGGCCTTCTTCAAGTGATTGGAATGTCGAACTGAAGCCTTTATTTCGCTCGTTCGGGTAGACTGTTCTAGTTCCACGTGCCATGTCTAATGGATGTCAGTTA